ATCCGTGTTTGAATTTGTAATCGCAGTGGGATAACTGGGAAATTCTGCTGTAGTCTAGCAGTATCATAGTATGATTCGGTGGGATAGTTACTCAGGAACTTCTCGCCCTAGTCTTTTGTTAATACCTCAGACTTGCGAATCCACCAATTCTATGGAAATACGCCATGAAAGCGTGGGTGAGTCGGAAGTTTTGGGGTCAACTTGGAACCTGCTTGAGGTGGGAGCCTACTTTGCAACTCTGGTATGGTAGTGTGCGGATATTTTCGACTTACCTCGACTGCCAGAGTTATTATAGTCTTTCTGTTAGCTTGTGGCGTCCCGAGGCCGTTGATTCTGAGTATGCGCGGGAGGTGGGATCCTGGCTCTTGATTACAAGTATCATATGCCGGTTGCCCCCCCCCCCCACTGAACCCAAGGATGGATGAATGGATGCGAGTGATACCCAGTGAGTTACCGGATGGCAGAATGAAAAGACAATTGTCTTCCCTCTGGGTTGTGAGAGTTTCTCGGATGGTAGACAATAGGCAAATGTTAGAATAGAAGGTCCCTACATATCTTGTGGGTTTCGCGGTCCCGTAATGTTTGTTGGTCGATAGGTAATTTAGTTTTGGTTTCCCACAGCTTGCCATAAGGTTACTACTGGGCGCTCGGGGGGGCATATTGGGTGGGGTGGCTAATCAGTGTGATCGCCGAATACATCAAGATTCTCAAAGTCTATTGTGACCTGCCTCTTGCCTTGAGATCTTTAATGCCATTCACATGGGCAGAACCAAATCACTATCGTAGGCCTCAAAAAGAGGGAAAAGGTTCGGGTTTAGAGTGTATATTTCCTCCGTGTCTGTCCACTAGAAAGTTGACCTGGTGCTAATAGTGCTCGTACTAACGAATGACAATAAAACCAGCCCCACTTTTAGGCATTGTACTAGTCGATTTAAAAAGTATCGGGACGCCTTGGCACCAAGGCGGGTGGCCAAAGCGCTAAAGTGTCTGGATACTTTTTAAATCGGCTGGCACAATGCCTAGAAGAAGGCAAAGGAGGTAAAAACCAAGCGAAAGCTCACCCGCCGGCTGCCTCACTCTTACAAATACATTAATTCTCAATCCGCTCCAAGGCGCGTACCAGACAACCTCATTGTTATCCCCGGTAGAAGCAACCTCGAGTGCCTTAGCGCCCTTAGCCGGGCAATCGAAAGCCAATCCCGAACCATCCACGACCATCGATCGCCTCGCCCCACCCGGCTACCGTACGCGAAAAGTGCCCTTAAACTGGTCCCTGAAAGGTCTCTTATCGAATGTCGCACTTTCAATGTTCGCCTCGCCAATTGTGAACGCCCGGATCTCCCCTGTGCCACTGAACTGCGCTGGGTGGATCGAACACCAATTGGCACTTGCGCCCTTTAAGACTCTCGGGGAACTCGAGTCTGACAAGAGCTTGGGAGTTGCGCTTGCCGTTGACGCGGGAGACGGTCCTTCTATCGCTGACGCCGAGAGCGGTATCGGGAGTGTCTTCGCGGATGTTGACCACCGCGCTGAAGGTAATCACTTGTTTGATGTGATTCCTGTCAACGAGTCTTTCGAGGAACTCTGCTTGACCAGCATCAGGGAAGGCAGTGGCCAAGGCGGCGAAGATACTGATGGTAGTGTAGAACATAGCAGACTTCATTTCGATGATTGGCTCGGTCCCGTTTCCGCTTTGGTTGAAAAGTTGGCAGCAAGGAGCGGAAGACCAAGAAGGGTGTGATAATGGGAATGTAGCTTTGCAGTGCTGTCGAGAGATGTCCGAGAGGATGGTTTTTTCCAGATCGTGGGATCTTGGGGAGCGTTTGTGCCGCCCATATCGCCGCACAGCAATCAAGCTACAACCATCGAGTCAATCATGGTGATGCAATCATCGATTCCGCAAGGCAATCCCTTCACTACCAAAGGTGACTCCGGTTAGCGTCAATCCACCATCCCCGATGAACATCGTGGGGGCAGAACCAAGGGTCCTCACCTTTGTGTGTTCCTGCCCACAATTCGGGTTCGGGTAACAACCTTCCCCCTAGAGAGATGAAACAACGAAATCCACTGCAACCGGGGAATTGCGAAATCTGTACTTACTTCGCCACAGAATTAGCAAGTGGTTGAGCCACCTAGCCATAGGCCAAGTATGATAAGCGGCAAAGTGACCACGGGTTGAGCGATTCTTGACTGCATTGAATTTCGTTGTTTCACCTCTCCAAGGGGTACAGTCTCTGCAGAAATGCGCAGTAACCCTGGTGGGGGAAGGAAACAGAGAGAGAGATTGTTCAGTAAAGATGGGAAAGATATAACCTGGGTATAAATATAGAAAGCTCTTCTGGGCTCGGGATCACTACTAGTTATCCCCGGACAACCCCAACAAAGAAACAAAAAACAATAATCAACCAAGAAACATACAAGAGGGACAAGGAGAATAAGGAAAACAATCAATAACCGGGCCTGGTATGAAACATCCCGAACAAAGCCTTCGAGAACATAAAGGAATATCCGTATGCCGATAGTCTCCACTGTCCCCAATACGAAACCTGGCCGGTGATGTACAAGGTCCGGAAGCAAGTAATTTTCCGTTACCGGTACCCTACTTCAACGGTTTCCTCCTTTGCTCACATAATACCCCTGTCCGTCACCGGCCCAGTTTCGTCGTGAGTATGATATGATAGCTGTTACCGGGGGCTCACCTGTATCTTACGTTGGATAAGCTTATTGTTTTGAACCAGGTTTCCGGAAACCACCCGACCCTAGCCCTGATGCTTCGTACTTACAGCAGTAGCCATGCTCAAAGCAAAAAATATTGGTAAATCTGACAATGACATAAAATGGTACCCTGGACTGAAGTCAGATTGAAGTTGGACCGGAGTTTTGGTGGCAAAGCCTCAGGCATAATAGATGTCGTTAATAAAAAAATTGGCTAGCTATTATGTCTCCTTTTGCTCCTTTCAGCTTGGACCGTGGTCGAAGTGTTCCAAAGTTAGCTACGGGTTTAGGAGGTAGAAGCGCCCTTAACCACTAGCAGCTTTCGTGAGCTGAATTATGATATGGGTGCTTATTATAGGTGTCGGTACAAACCCCCCCTTCTCCACCTGATAGTCACCGCAACTCCTCAGAGCTTCTCTTCTACTATTGAAGGGCGTTCTCTTTCAGAGCTATTCATAAGAATATTATCACCTCCGAACTCTCCGTGCTCAGCCCTAGGCACACGAGCCCAACAAGCCTCGCAATTATTACGATAGAGCGCCGAATATACCTCCGTCTCCCAAACCCACCCCTGTGGGATTGCCTATATGGAATGATGTTGGGCTGATGTGTGGCGTGCGGCAGGATATGGGGTTCTGGTTTAGTCGATATCCGTTGCCATCGTGCACAAGGTATCTGGCATTTGGTTTTTTCCCGATGTTCCCTCCACACCATATGCCATTCGACATATGGTAGTTGGCATAGCCGCATAGGGCACAGGCTTTAGGGCTCATGGGGGATCATGGTATATCATACCGAGACAGCTATAGATCGTTTGAGATCGCAGAGGATCCTGATTTGTCTGGTTGGTGTGTTTAGACTTCTTTGAGCTCTCTTAGGTTTCGGGAATTGTTAGTTATGGGGAGATATATATATATCTCCTAGTTTGTTCTAAGCTACAGAATTATCCATCGCTCACCTACTCCACCTTTCTTCTCCCATTCTGTGCGGTTCATTCACTGATTTTAGCCTCGCCACTGCGTTGCTGAATTGTCTCTTTAACTCCAAGTACGAATGACCAAGGATGGCATTTCCCGCTGCCCAGCCGTGGATGAGAAGGAGTATATGTAGCGAAGCGACCTGATTGATACCTAGGGAGAACAGGATGCGTGGGCTGTGAGCGGCAGCAGAGATTAACGGAGGCCCCGGAAATTCACCACATCCAAACACCGAACATGGCCAGAGTATAGTAGTTGGTAACGGAAACATTACTCTTCCGTGATAATGATTCGTGCTTCCAGAATCCATCGCCGGATGAGCCCAGCACCAAGGAGCACTGTCCGAACACGGACTTTTATCGTTTTAGAATTTCAAGTCGAGTGACCTCCCATGACCGCTTGAGCCGCGGCAACACAACGGTTCGGCGTCAAACCAGCGCACGATACTACGCTCCGGTGGGCGAGACTCGCTGCTGATAGCATGGCAATGGCATGAAGAAACATACCTTCAATACCTCGAGCTCTTCGGACCCACAGCTCCAAGTGAAAAAGCCCCCCATAAGCAAGACTGGAGGTGGGATCTCGCGCTTCAACCTCAATACATCGCTTCGTAATCACGGTGATTCCCTATCACTCCGATAGGTCCGTGGGATCTGCTAGGTGCACCTCATAGAAAGTCACTTTGCGATCCCAACATTGTACTAGTACACATATCATTCCACTTATCGTATCGAAAATAATCGAACACACCCCGGCAACGGGAAAGTCTTGATAGAGTTTCCTAGTCAATCGCCACCGTGGGCAGGAACTTCCACGGCAAGTAGTGCTCGACAAGTTATGAAACCGACTGTATAAGGGCTTTCGGCGGGTCCATAATTTTCTGCTCCACAACCCCTGAAAAGAGAAATCACCACCGCAAAAGTATGAAGAACGTGATATTAGCGAGTACTGGGGATTTCCCCCCCGTTGCTACCTGCGGGAACTTGGTTATTTTGATAGGTGATGGTCTCATTCAGGGTGGGGGAAGTATTGCGTGGTGGGGCACTGGACCCGGTAATGACGATATGTCACTGCAGTCCGGGTGCGCAGAAACAGAATTCGAAGCCCGCTTCAGTCTAATTTGCATCGTGTCGCACCGCAACTTGATTGTCGTGTTCTGTTGCGACAACATTGGCAATAGACTACCATGCCTAAACCTCCTAATATGGCGTTCAAGCATGCAGTACAATTCTAGAACTCGAAAATGTAAATAAAAGTAAATATTACAAGTGTTAACCCCTGCGTATACCCCAGAAAGTATGACAGTGATGGTAAAAACTGAAGATAATAAAATTAGAAAATATTATACCTAAACAAAATAAAAGGTGAAAACCCAATGAATCCCCCCACATTTATCTACCAATAATCGCTCATATTATAACTTCCTCCAGACTCACGTTGAGGTGACTTCAAAAGGCTCGGAAATGCAATAACTCCCCTTACCCCTTTCCCACCCCCATTGGTCTGAAAATTGATAGATATAGTAATCACCATATGGGAGCATTCCACGCGATTGACATACAAATTAAGGAGCAGGTGACATGGTCATAATCGGTCGTCACCAGTGGGAAGCATTGACGCTCTAATAGTGGGAACAGCGTTAACAAAGACAGGGAAATAATGCTTATTGGAAAAGGGGGGTATACTTTTCTCACGAAGTAAGATTTCGCTTCCACCACGCCTTCCACCACGCCTTCCTGGATCTCTTGACCTGACCCCGCGTCTTGCCGGTGGGAGTCGTTCCTTCTCGAATATTTTGTATGGCAAGTCCGGTGCTGTTAGCCATATCCCTGGACGTTTTCAGGGTTGAGAGTTGGTAAAACTATGATATTAAGTATTACCAGAGTCAGCACGTCACACGGAAATTGCTGGGCGACAGGTATCCATTACAGATTTCTTTATCACTTTAACTCCTGTGAAAATTTCATTAACCTCGTCCAAAAATGTTTGTCGCTCTTCAAGTAAGAAACTGATTCTCTTTAATGGGACACTCCTTTCTTCACCCCATTGACCAGGTATCAATGGTAAGCCATTGGGGCGATCGACGCCAGCTCCCAGTCCAGTTAGGAACCCCCGAAGGTCTTTGATGTAACGCTGTTGTGACTTGACTACATCAATCACAGCTAAAAATTCGTCGGAGAGAGTGGCTGAACTGGACATCAGCTCGCCCCCAATATCTCCTTCGGTAGCGCCCGACTCTTTGGCAAACCTCTGAAAGTCCCATGACTGGTGATAGTGTTAGCTCAATTCATTGGTCAAATCTATGCATGAAGAGTGAAGGTTGGAATTCAAACATACGTAATCAGACGCTTTGCGACGAAGATTGTCAATAACAGCTTGCTCAGAGGATTTCAGAGTATTCGATAATACATTAAGAAAGGCATCGAGAGCGTTTACACTTTTCTGGTGAGGGAGCAGAGGTACACGGCCCGAGTTTTTATCATCGCAGGATCTGAAAATTGCCAGTCTCTCTGCTGCAAGATGCGAAATATTAATAGGGAATTCGACCAAAAAAAGAGGCAATACCTTCATACCTTTGTCACTGCCATGGCCCCTACTACTAGTATTCAAAAGGATGATACCTGTGTGATGCACTAAGATTAAGTCATTGCCCACACCATGGTCCTCCAGACTGTCATCATGAGTATTCGAATATCTAGATTGGTCTAATGTTGAGCTCTCCCTCGGCCATGAAATGTATGGACGTTTCCGGAAGTCTGTGAGCTCCTCCAATCTTTCCAACCTCCGCAACACCTCTGATCTCTCCAGTCTACTTCGTCCCCTACCCATACCAATAAACCGCACAGCATCAGTATCGTTAAGTGCCTGGATGTCCTGGGTTGGTAGGCGAGCGTTTTTCTCCACCCCTAAGTATGGAATGGATATCGCTAGAGTAAATTGTGGTGAGCCCAGGGCCAATTTGAATGAAACCCCAGGGCGTAAACTATCTCCTCGGTCCCGGAGACGCCAAATATGTTCGGAAGAGAAAGCCCTCAAAAAGTCCTGAGAAATAAAGTTAGTTGCCTGTCACTAAAAATAACAGGACCACATACCTTGGCATAATAGCATGCCGGAAACTCCCTTGTTCATCACCAATGTCAGTCTAAACCGATTAGGCCATGAGACAAATACTTACATGATCTGCAGGTTCTGTTGCACCAACTCATCAACTTCATTCTCGCGAGATGCTGTAAGTGGGTTCATGGAAGAAGACTCTTTCGGAACCATTGCTTCTCCGTAATTCTTGTAGAGATATTGTAGTGGCATTACCACATATTCAAACTTTCCGCCGTCTAAAGAGTAATTGTAAAAAGTAACCGGTTCTTCGCCTTCCAGTTGATTAGATTGGTTTCCGCTTGGTACTCCATTGACATACCGGGGGACCTGGATATTTTTGGGGATCCAGCAATTGCGATAATAGAAGGATTCTTCGTTAACATTTTGCATGTTAGGCGCATCACCCTGAGGAGGTGCTCTTGCTCCTCCAGCTGCAGTCCAAGTTAGTAGATACCACCAAGACTGCGCTCATATTGGATCTTACCCCCATGATGGTTCAACACGAAACCTATATAATCATCAAGCTCAGTTCGATGGATACGCTCAATATCCTGAGATGGGCGAGGTATTCCACGTCGTATATCTTCATCTCCGTATTTCGCTGTCGCCATAGCTGTAATCGGGGCAGGCATTTCCAAGGGATACTATTCGTCTTATCGCTGGAGCTGCCCAAGGTGTTTTAAAAATACTACCAGTGGCCCCCGATCTTCAGAGAATAAATAAGGTAAGAGAGCTGTTCCGAAGAGTCCAGCAGGCGGAATTAAAAGAGAAGCCGACGCGCATGCATCCAGGCATGAGGTTCAGTTTGGTTCAGATTGGGGGTCCACGGGTGGTATCACATTAACCATCAACATCCGTGAGTAATTGCACGGGATAGCTTCCTCCTCCTGCCTCCTCTTGGCCAAGGCTCGAGACATACATGGTAACACTGCAGCGACTGAGTGAAATGTCTCAGAGGTGGTCGCCCATACCACAGGTCCAATTATTTCTTCCAAACCCCATAGACTTTCACACGTACAGAGATTCGAGCGCGCTAACCCTGGAAGTGGGTGGATTCCCAGCTAGGCGGGCTCTCTGGGTCATGGATGTACTCGAACTGAAGATTAAGCTCTAAACCCCCCCCACCTTCCGTGGCATAAAGTCTCTCAAAAAGATGGTGACCTATGTTATTCCAGCAGTGATTCACCAGTCACCCCTCCCAGACCTTAGTGGGTAGCTTAGAGAGTAGACGAACAAACGACCCACTCAAAGCTATTCCGATTCCACCACGGCTGCGGCCTATGGCACAACTTATCCACATGTTGGAGCACAAATCTCGGAGAATGACTGGGATTCAGGGGAGTGTCAAAGGGCTCGCATGGTATATTCGTAATCAATTTGTATCTAAGGTGTGTGCCTACATCGTGCCTAGAAGCTGGCACCACTCGTAGAGCTCCACATGCTGGTATCATACGGTGATAACAAGGACCAAGGCTCAATTTGGGGTCGATGGAGATAGGGTATCAGAAGCTACCCGGTAGTGAAGAGCCCCCGGGTTACGGTAGATTGGTATGATGACCCAATTTCCAACCGCAGGAGGAATTGCTCTCCCAAAATTAGTGATGGCTGTCACTCCGAACCAAGTTACCCCCTCCCCTTCCTTGCAAATATCGGCAGGCGGGATGCGGGGGATATTATAGGCCCGGGGGGGTAGGGGGATGTTGGCTCTGATGAGACCCTGTCTTAATATTCTCAATTCTCAATTTGTAAATAATCCTGGGGCAAACGCCGTGGCAAGTCAGTTGGCTATTGTATGAGGCCTCGATATAGAAAGGGGGCTGACATTACCTACAAGGTAGTACGAGTACTCGTAAACTCATATACCGGTACGGTATCCCCCTGCGGGGAATCGACCTGACAGTTAATTTAATGGTGAGTCCGGGATGAGGAGTGCTGGATTGGGCTTGCGCCCGAGATACAAGTATTTTCGGCTGCGTAAGTGTCGATCTTCAACTTTTCCACTTTAAGGTAACCAAAAACTGATGGGCTGATGTCGATCAAAAGCCATCCAAGCCCTGCCGAGTTCCCCCCCACCCCACTTTACGGGTCGGACCGAGCCAAGGCTCACCTATTTGGTAAGTACTTGGGTACTCGAGTACTCAGGTGAATCATAATGAAGTGCCATGATCCGAGCGCTGTACAGTACTGTACAGTAAATTTGTGCACAATGTACGATCGGGAGCTTCCGCGTGAATACCAAAATATCCAGTACCACCTCCATGACATGTATTCGTCGCTCTGTTCTCGGAGTGAATACATCTAATTGTAGCCGTATTAGTTAGTACCCAGTCTTGATTTTAGGCATTATACCGACACCCTAAGTTATCCCCATGCTTGCTATAAGGAAATTGTAATATGATTTTTCATCAATTGCGATATTCGATTGGGATACTGTGCTAGTACGGTACTCGAGTATGATAGTTCCAAAAATTCGACGCACCTAGGGCGGAAATCATGGGAGAAAACCATTTCAATACCATGCAATTAGCGTCCTACCTTTCGGATACCACTGCCCGGGAAATATACCACTCAAAAAATGGGAAAACTATGTTACCTGACCGTAGCGAGATACCCTAGCAAGAAAGAGAGGATAACCATCCTCGCTTACATCTCAGGTCTGTTCTCCTTCAACCTTTCTCACTACGCTAAAATAGACTCTTATCATGCTTATCCCACCAACTCCCTAATGGGAGGACGTCTCACTGGCTTCTTAATGGGAGAGCTTCATACCATATTCGCCTCTCTATAGGAGGACTGCTTACCCGCTTCTCAACGGGAGAGCTCCTTACCGGATCCACCTCTCTACAGGAGGATTGCCTTCTCACTTCTCAACGGGAGAGCTCCTTATAGGATCCGCCTCACTACAGGAGGATTGCCTTCCCGCTTCTCAACAGGAGAGCTCCTTATAGAATCCGCCTCTCTACAGGAGGATTGCCTTCCTGCTTCTCAACAGGAGAGCTCCTTACAGGATCTGCCTCTCTACAGGAGGATTGCCTTCCCGCTTCTCAATGGGAGAACTCCTTTACCACCTTCTACTTTTCTTTTAATAAGGTTTGTTTGTTCTGTTTAAATTGCTTCCCAAAAAATTTATTGCAGGGTATCAAGTTAAGCTTCTTGATTCGCTAAATCACTGTGCGAAAAGGTCTCAGAAAACCCCAATACCCATAACTGAAAACTGTTGCATGGTGTTTCGCAGTAGGATTCGTCTAGTTATTTCTAAAGTAAGTGTTTGCGCCTTGTTCACCACTCACAGAATCTCACTCATCTTGGCATTGAGAGTTGAGATATGTCCCTACGCCTTCTCTTTTTTTAAAAAAATAAAAAAATAAAATAAATTAGAAATCTAATATGTAACAAAATTCTTTTAGGAATAAATTGACTACAGGTAGTAAGGTAGAAATAGTTTAATGGCTAGAATATAGCTGTCTATAGTACATGGTAAGTATATCTACTCTATTACTTGATTACAGGTTTTACGATTATGCCCCCAGCCTCCACATTGCCGACACTGCTGACTACCGGGACCAGATTCAGGAGGTGGTTCAGTCTGGTTGAGAGTAGCTTGAGCTCTTATCGTACGCCGGTGTTGCTCGCCTCGAGTTATTCGTTTCCGCTTTGGTCTTCCTGGGGGGCGCGGAGTTTGGTTGGTGGGTGGCATAGCTGTACTTGAAGCTGCGGGTTTTCGTGTACAAAGGCTGTGATATCTTCCAACCCTATTGGAGTAATATTTTGTTTATAAGTTGCTTTCCAAGTGGAAATGTGAAAAGCAACTGGAAGGTAGGATTTTGGTGACTCTCCTAATGCTGAAATAAAACTAAATGTGTCTGCAAGGAATACTATTTTCTTGGAAATGTCCACATGTGCACCACTTTCGCTCTAAGTGTAACAATCCTACTCCATATATGTTAGTTCTTCAACAGGTAATGACCTTTTCTCTTTGACACCTCGATTGTTAGGTGGAGACAACCTATATAGACTCAGATTTGTCAAGGTCAATCAAGATTTGTTTCTGTAGACAGAGATTGTCTAGGAAGGCTTGAAGTATACTCATTTCATTTATGACTACTAAGAGTGAAGTAGTATAGGTGAAGTAGAATAGAATCGTAGAAACAATATTAGATTATTAAGGTCTCTTCTCTATTGCTTGATGATGTCTAAAAGCTTGGGAGATACTTCAATATTTATATTCCACGTCTGAGTTTTCGTGGACTACATCTATCTATTATACAAACTATGTACCTTTCTCATCATAACTCGCAATGTCAGGTATTCTTCCAAGATGCAAATACCGGGAAACCTTGAAAACTACCACATCCTCTTCGGTAATTACTATTTTGCTAATTAGGAGCTACATTGTTCCTAATAGTAATTATCTGATCTTTAGAGTCTTTAGGCTGGTAGCCCAGTTCTCAAGTCAAACTGAGTTGGCTCTAATCACCTCCCATATTGATGAAATGATTAGTTTCATCTCTGGATTTTATCTGCAGAGGTAGTTGTAAAGTCAATCTTTCTTGGTCACTGATTATAAACCTTCATAACTCTTGATCCAACCAACAGATATCTTCTGAATAGCTTTCTACTAATTTGTAGATAGCCATTCTACCAAATTGACAGAAAATACCTCAGTTGGCAACCCTTGGTTACTTTAAATAACAGGTTCTCTGTTGTTACTTTAGAATTGAGAATTATTCCCACAATTACAATGTATTCCTGGGCTCAGTTGTAACATTTTAGGAAGTTTATTGTAACAATTCCTCCTCGGATAGTTAGTTCTTGGTGACAGGGAACGATACTTCTCTTCCTCTTCTGTGTCCTTTCTTAGTCTTATGATAGGACTAGGCCTCCGCCTACGTTACCGATAGTACAAGACCTTTGTCTTCTATCGGGAACGCCTATCGTAAGCTTTCTCTAACTCTTCCTTGTAAAGAGCTTTCCTTGGCATAATGATAATGTTGCAATAAAGATAAAGATTGTAAAGGTGTTTTATATTCGTTAAAGTAATAAGTAGGAAAAGTACTTAGAATTCAATCTAATTTTATTTAAACTCATACCGCTAACACTGGCATATGATGGACCCCTGCCAGTTACAGGGACACAGCTAACCGGTATACCACTAATCCCAGGCTAACTAAGTCTATGGCCCTGCACCTACCATCCCTGAGTCAAGCTCACACGGAAACTAATTACAAGACCATCAAACAACCCAGTGCCCGCCCCTGTCCAGGTCTGTAGCTCCTCTGGTATGAAGCCAACTAGCACTAAGTGTAGCTGAAGCTGAGAAAAAGACTGACCCAATCAGGTTCCTCGTCCAACAAACATAAAATCACTACCATTCAGTCTGAATACCTTTCAGCAAAAACCTCCACCATAGTAGAAAACTAAGAAAACCCAAACTAAACCTACAGGCGACACAATGGCAGGGAGGAGGCAACCAACATGTCCACCTCTCGCCCCTGCATGCCAGGCCATCAACACTATGAACTCACTTTGCCAGTTGCCTCGGAAGAGCGTACCGGTAAGGAGGACCTGTACCTGCTACCTGTCCTCCAAATAAGAACATCATAAACATAAGAAATACATAGAGGTAGTAACA